GTGGACCTGCTCAATGCACGTCGATCATTAGGGAGGAGATTGCCCATACTCATTTCATGTGGTTTAATATGGTTCAAAGGCAGATGCTTTTCTTTTTCGTATAGGGGTTGAATTATTTATCAGTTGAAAATGGTCATCAGTTTGAATTAACTTACGTACGTTAAATGTTTTTGTAGAATGAAAACAGGTTCAGTTAGGACGGGGTTATGTCTCGGGGGGCGTGTTTTGTGAAGTACGTGATCGAATATGAATGCCGGTTACAAGAATAGCGAGACTTTGAGTACTGGAGAATTTAGGAACCTCAATAGTTTCTGGCGTTGGCTCATAGTGAACCGCATGTGGTTATTGAGTTCGTACAGGTTCTAGAATATAATTACAACATTGTGCCTAGTTACAGGATGCTAAGTTTTATGTAAACTTAGTAATCTAACATCACCAAGCATAAACAACACCAAGCAGTTCACGCAAGTCAGAATGCAGTTGATTGAAATATCCTGTTTCAAAACAATGTATATAGGCGAATTTTGCAAATATATGACTTTTGTTCACTTATAATTTGATTTGTTGTATTGTTTACAACTATATTTTAGGCAAAACCTTTAAAGCATAAGCCAAATTCTTACGGCTACTAAAATCATAACCGTTTGTTAAAGTGAGCTTAGGTCGTATACAGCGTTTCAAGTCGGCTACGTACTTTCGTGATCACGTGTTCGGAGAACGATGAAAAGCCACGAAGTATCGCCCCAGAAGTTCTCCTGAAAAGAAAGAGGGGGGAACGGAAGACAGAGGGATCGTTTAGGCTACTACAGGACTCTAAGTAACGGAGAGCTATCTTTCCAATAAGTCAGCACTGTAATAAATGCACCACATTGCATCTGGGCAGCCCTTTTTCCCCAATTGGAATCTTAAGTAATACAGATTCGCTAGCAGAAAAATTGTGTCGAGACACAGTGAACTATTTCGACTGTACATCGTTTCCTACCTAAAGTCAAAAACAAACCGGGTCAATCGAACCCACATTTTCGAGCGCTTTATTTCACCTATTTTTAGATCATTGCAAAAGCTGCTGAAACAGAGAAATCTTAATTCGTGCAACTGTATCAAGAGCATCCATCAGTAACGGAAAAAAATATAAAGGAAATACGTTTTGGGGGGACTTCATCAAGGGACAACTTCATTCAAATGTTCATTTAAAAAATATTGAAACATACTTTGCTCATGCGCCCATACTGCGTGAGTTCATTGTTTGTGGATTATTGGTTTACCCGGTCGAGGAATGGCTATGAAGTCAACATTTCTCCGTCACCAGCGAAGGCTTCGCCAAAGCCTAGTTACATTAACTTGGAGTGGAACTGAGACATGTTACATCAGTTCCTATACCTTACTTTGGACGTTTGATAAGTATACGTGCAAAAGTAAAGGGTTGGAGCTGTTATATTGGACAAAAGAGACATTTGAATAGCCCGTGAGGTGAAGAAGCGTAAACAAACCGAAGATGGAATGCCATGAATACTACTTAGCAAGACTGTAGAAATGGCGCTCCACGAGTAGGACTTCAGTCAGGACGATCATCTTAAGATGATCCGCAGCAATACATTCGTATCTTAGGATCCCGGTCGTTCTAAGTGCTATCGCGCCGAATCACATGATGCCCACTGGCCACCAAATAGGCAGATCGCCTAATATCGTCAAACTGGGCGAAACTATTTAAAATGCCTTGCACCAGAAAAAACTGATTTCGAGATATACATATATATATATATATATATATATATATATAATATAGTTTGGTGCCTTTGAGGCTACTCAAAAAACAAAAAACCTTCACAGCGCAGGGAAAGTTTCTGTCTCCCGGCACACGTCATCACTGCTTTATTAGCTTCTTATTTAAGCGTTAATAGAAAATTGATGACAAATATTTTGCCGCCAACCCGTAGTCTAAACCTAGCCCAAATATTTCTAACGCCACTAATATACACAGATTAACGCTGTAAACAGATGAAAGAAAACTAGGTCTCTTGCCGAAACATTGCGGAATACCAAGCGCTAGGCAGTTTTCCTACGAATCGATTAGTGCCAAGTAATTACTAGATACTTATTGGGCACGGCCTGAAACGAGTGATATATACAAGCGTCCTTATCGATTCTGGTAAGGGGATGGCTTGATGGTTGAGACTGGCCTGTTGTGCAGGAGTGTGTACGGGTTAACTGATTACCTATCATCACGAGACGTAGCAATGTTTCGTTTTATAGCCGGTCGTTTTCGACCATGATATCTATAGCATCTATTCTATGGTTGACTATTAACTAGGCTCTAGCGGACATTAAATCTCGTATCCGTAAAACTAAAACGTAAACGAATAAAAAAAAATCGTATTTTCTAAATAAATACTACGATGCTATGTACTAATTAAATGTGTTAAGTTCATCCATAATATGTGCTAATAAATCTCTATGTTAACCAAAATCCATTATTTCCATATAATCGATAACCAATTGACAAAAGCGTCAGCGTAAAGTTCGGACGGCTAACATAGTATACTGAATATGCACAATCGTAGTAAATCACGATAGCCGCGTCACATCGTCATAAACGAGTAGTTAGTTAACGTAACGGTGGCAGTTATGTAGCAACAAACCTAACGAGCACCACTCTAATGTTTTCCTAGTCGTATCTCCTTCTTTCACTATCGAACAGAGTTCATGATACGGTTAAGTATTCGCTAATCTACTTCATAATTCTGTTCCATGAAAAAAAAAGAAAAAAAAAAACAGCACCATCACAGTAATTAGCGACATGGGCGTACTTACTTAGATTTGTCGTGTTAAAATAATGATCATCGCTCCGTCAGGTCTGAGACAACTGTAATAGCTGCCACTTTGTATTACCTGTTGGTATTTATACACTCACGTTTCTGTATTGTAGCAAACAGATCTAGTACCGGAAAGACTCGTAAATAACTCGCGATATGACGATGACGAACTAAATGCCATTCGATTAGATGAAATTCTATTAGAATGTGCCTAAGTTAAAGTTGACTCTTCAATCAGAGTAGATCTAAAGTAACGCAAACATTCCGAGATCCGTCGAATAACATCCTATAGGTTCCCTTCGTGGATCGATCCATAATCGACTTCAAATGTATTTGCACTAACTTAACTAGATTGTACTAAGTTTAAAGGTCTTCATTTATTTTCCTTTCTTTTTCCGTTTGTCTGTTCGTCTGAGTAGGAAAATCGCCCTTTTAATACTTAGCCCGATAATCTGACTGGGTCTGATTGCCCACATTCAATGATAGTTAGCCCAGAGCAGCAGAAACTTGAATTCGTAATGATGCCGATCTAGGGGGTTTGAGTCCTACCGAGCTGATACGACCCGATCATTGCTCTAAAACGCCCTCCAGAAACTCATTGAGGTCATCGTCCGATTCTGAGAGGCGTCGACATATATTTAACGTTGACAGTTTCACAAATAGCAAGTATTCAATTAAAATAGCTGATCAAGTTTGACAATTTTACTTACTATTTGCTACCCAGTTACCAATTGTTAAAACGCTATCGTCGGTGAGGTGAGGGGCTCAGAGGACAACGTAGCAGTAGCTCGTATATCCAACATAATACAACACATGTATTCCCATTCCACAGAAATGACAAATATTCATCTGTTAATATCAGACTTATGTATACGGTACACATAAATTAGAGTATAAAAGTTTAAAGACAGAAAGCTTGGTAAAGAAAAGCTATTCTTTTATGCCTTCTCTAAAAACCGTGCTATAACGCGTACTTCAAACAGGAGGTATAAATAAATTTGGGCATTTTCAATGCTTGCAAGTGAAAATGTGTGGCTCTTTTGTCTTTGTCATATATCTGATTAGCGCGCCAATATCTTACATGGGCCTTGGGCCCCTTCTGCCCCATTTCGTATGATGAGCGTACGATAATCAGGCGTGGGTCAACGGTCGTTACCGATTCAAATGTAGATAAAAAAATTTAAGTGTTTATTGACATGGTTCTATTTACTGTTTAACGCTCGGTCACGACGTTCGATAGATGTGGCGCTGTATTGACAGTCGATCCATAATGAATATTGATGGTGATACATGCGAAGTTACCTGAATTTAAAAGCCATCAGCTGATGAGGAACAACATCATAGTCGACTGACTCGTACAAAAAGAAAAACAAAAAAAAAAAAAGAAAACCTAGATTAGATGTGTGCGTGTATGGACCTGTATTCGTGAGTAGTTTAAAAGTAAACAGCAGATTGACGCAATAGAGAAATCCATTGTGTTTGCACGGCAATCATCGAAACGTGAAACAGGACACAACCATAAAATGTTCGACGAACCTCTTACGGTAATTAAATGAAAAAAAAAATTGATAATATAATAATGAATGAAGATTGAAACAATGTTAAGAATAACTGTTATTTTTATAAATAAAATGTGCGCAGCATTAGAGTTGTGACTGTGATCCTCGAAGATTATAACTATAGACATCAGCTTTGAACTGTTTTCATGACGGTACCTCATTATTGTTATGGTGGTTTCATATTCGTAAATGTCGGAAGAATAGATTCTCATCATTAATACGACTGTGTCAAAAACTAATTAGCAACTACCTGGCAAAGCGTACTGGACTTGAGTGATAGAAAAAGCGATAATTGGTTGGTAGAGGCCGGTTATTTGTGTGGTAGCCAACAAGACCTATACGAACAAAAATAAAAAATCTAAAAAGAAGATACATTTTAGCCTAATTGATATGCCTTTTACAAGTTATGCCAATACAAGTTATGCTGTACCAGGTAGAAAATTTTTATCGAAACACTTAATGGAATAATATTTTCAAATATCTAAGGTCAAATATACGGTACATTCTTCATTATAAGTTCTTTCATACGCGGTGAATATCGTTAGAAATAGATCGAATCGTTACGCACATATGTAGCATTTTGGCTTACAAATCACTTAAGCTTTTTGTTCTCGCCTATTCATTTCAGCCTCGGGCTAGACCAGAGTCGACTGGGGACGAGCATGCACTCGACAAAAACGTTTCGCTGAAAACAGCAAAAACAACAACAACAAAAGGAGCATTATTATCGTCGCACGCTCCGGGTAGGTCTCTACCCAGTAGAGATGTGCATGGCCATTATTCTTTAGACTCAGAGGAAGAAACCGCTTCTACTCTTCGGTCCTCACCCGCGTACTTCAATTCTGGTTGGCGAGCGTTAAGGACACGCATAGTCATCGAAGAACCCCCAGGAACGACAGTAGCGACAACTCCAACGGATGGTCGACGAAGCCTCGACGACGTTACCAAGTTTACCACAGTCGCCAATCGCGGAAGCAGTGTAACTGGCAGCACCAACCCAGCAAACTTCTGGCAGACTTCATCTACGAGTACTCATAGAAAAACAATCACTAATAGCACAATAAGTCCTACCCCTGAGAGCATCTTCGGCACTACCAGCAACAGTAGTAGCACAACGAACCACAACAATAACGACAATATTAGCAAGAGAAACAACGATAAGAACAACGGCCGCAACAAGCGCTGTAGAAACAATAGCAAACGACACATCAACATCGGTCATTTTGACGGGAACAGCAGCTGTATCACAAGAAGCAGGTGGCATCGAGATTGGGAAAAACACGTAGCAGGTAACAATAAGAACACAATGTCAACTTCAGGTGTTCCGTTTATTACGACGCTAGGCTGTCCAGCCTCGGGACTAGCGCCCATCCCGATCTCAGTGTCGGACGTTGATGTGGAGCTCGACTTGCCAGTATCGTCCTTTGGGGCAGCCTGCCTGTCGCCTCCTTTGAGCCAGAACCTCAGCTCGAGTTCGTCCAGTCTCAACAGGCTGTGCGTTCCCGACCAGGGGTTGTCGCCAGGAAGCCCCCGCGAACGGAAGTTGAGTCTGCCTTCATCCCTGCATCAAAGAAGACCCTCGCTAAGCGGCTATGCAGCGGCCGCGGAACACGCGCGTGAAAGCGCACGGCTACGAAAGCTGTCCAGCGTTGGGGCTTCAATGTCGCACAGGTAAGAGCGATGTAGATAAAACGTTTCATAGAGTTTTACAGAAAATGGCTTCAGTTAGTGTGCGTTGTCTGGTTAGCGCACGACAGAATACGACAGGGGAATATTTAGAGTGACACTGAATGCTATCGTGTAGAAACCGTTGGGTCAATAGAATGTGACGGTCGTTTTGAAACAAAGAGTGGAATAAGTTGACTATTTCGGCGTCATTTTGATCCCTGTTTCATATGCTTAGAATCGAACAGTAAAAACTAGTAATGAATAATATGGAAAACTAGTAGTAATAAAGTTCGATACGTTGAAAATCATATAACGAAAGGCATTAAATTAAGGAAATTGAATTTTGCTCATTATACTTAGGGTTTTTACCCTTAAAAAGTAAAAAAAAAATACTTCTACACAAATCTGACACCTCGCAGAACTTACAGACCTCGCTAGAAGCGTCCTAGGCGTAGTTCGATCTTGCAGTTCTGGTAAACACATGTAACTTATTAACCTACATTAACAGTCCTAAGTAGCTAATCGTTTGCGTGACGTAACATATTTTGTTACACTACAGCGCTTGTAAGGGCGTATTAGAATGCTCAATCAAGTTACGGCATAGCAGCATCTTATATCGTGAATCTCCAGTACGATATGTCTTCAAAAACATATCAGACGCATCAAGTCTTAGCGGAATAAAGGCTCGCCGATAATGCCTTTATACGTTAGGACCGCTTCAACGGCCTTTTATTTCTATTTTGGGTAACGACGATATAATCAATTCAATCAATAAGTTTACCAAGTATGTCTCTTGTAATAGTCATTTCAGATCTTTTCTAGAACGTAGAGATTCTTTTCTTATGAACTATAAAATTGTTTCGAAATAAAACAAATGTGTCAGCGAAATATTTTACATTTGCTCGAAGCGTCATTCCGGGTGATCACGTTTTTTCAATACAACTACCTTTCATCGCGATGACAGCGCGATTCGGGATCGAAACTATCTATGAATCATTTTCAAAATATTCCTTCTTTAATCTTCAAATAACTTTGGGTTAAAAACCACGCCTCTATAACTACTAAAAGATACTGTTGGGTTTAAATTGGCCGAATAGTCGATCAGGTACGTTATATATAAAACATCTCAACGGAATTCAATTTTCGGCTATCAAAAAGCTAGAAATTTCCAGCATACAAACGCTCAGAAGGTGCAAGAGAGCTCAAAAGGCGTGAAAAGGTACAAAAAAAACTAACCGTTGGAATTTATCTGAATGACCTCATTGATAATTAATATTTTTCTCCCCGAAACGGCCGTTAATTTTTAACCGAAACCCAAGATGTATCAATCAATAAAAACTTTTTGAATTCTTAGGCCATTTTGAGCCTTTTTAAATCAAAAACCTATTTAGAACTTTTCGGTACGCCTCATGGGTATCTTCCCTGGATTTTTCCGAAGCGGCATGAAAACTGACAATAGCGTAGATCGTCAATTTCGAGCAAAAAAAAGTTTTTAATCTTAATGGGGGAATGTTCAATGCCAAGATATTGGGCAATGGGGCTCATTTACAAAACGAATTGCGAAAAAAACGCCTGTTTACCACAGGAGCCTATACATTCATCCTAGAAAAAAAAAAAAACATTTTCTTCTAGTAGCAAGAATGGCGGATAAACATGCCTATGTCAAACAGCCTGCCAAAGTTCATTCCAATTTAGGTGTGGTGCTATATA